ACTATTTGAAAGCAACCATTCCTAGATATATAGCCATTATATTCTGAATAATGTAAAATAAGTCAAATATGTCAGTATATGGAGTTATAGAACAGTCAAGTGGCTTTTATTCAACATGGTATTGGAAGTCCTAGCCAGGGCAATTAGACAAGAGAAAGAAATAAAGGGCATCCAAACTGCAAAGGAAGAAGTCAAATTGTTCTTGTTTGCTGATGACATGATCTCATATTTAGAAAAACCTAAATAGTCTTCCAAAAAAAGGTTAGAGTTGATAAATTCAGTAAAGTGTAGAATACAAAATCAACATACAAAAATCAGTAGCATTTCTATATGCCAGCAATGAACAATCTAAAAAAGATATCAAGAAGGCAATCCCATCTATAACAGCTACAAGAAACAAATACCTAGGAATATACTTAACCAAAAAAGTGAAGGATCTCTACAATGAAAACTATAAAATACTAATGAAAGAAGATGAAAAAAACACACAAAAAAGGAAATATATTGCATGTTCATGAATTGGAAAAATAATATTGTTAAATTGTTCATACTACCCAAAATGATCTACAAATGCACTCTCTGTTAAAATACCAATGACATTCTTCATAGAAAAAAAAAATCCTAAAATTCATATACAATTACATAAGACTCCACATAGTCAAAGCTATCCTAAGTAAAATGAGCAAAGCAAAAAGAACACATGGAAGCGTCACATTACCTGACTTCAAAAAATACTACAAAGCTATAGTAACAAAAAGTGCATGGTACTGGCATAAAAACAGACACATAGACCAATGGAACTGAATAGAGAACCCAGAAATAAGTTTTTGTATTTACAGTTAATTTATTTTCAACAAAGATGCCAAGAACATACACTATGGGAAGGATGATCACTTCAATAAATGGTGTTGGAAAACTCGATAACCATATGCAGAATAATGAAATTAGACCCCTATCTCTCACTGTATATGAAAATCAAATTAAAATGAATCATAGACTTACATATAAGACCTGAAACTATGAAACTACAACCAGAAAACATTGGTAAAATACTTCAGGACATTGGTTTGATACAGATTTTTTAGTAAGACCTCAAATGCACAGGCAACCATAGCAAAAATGGACAAATAGGACTATATCAAGTTGGAAAGCTCTGTACAACACAAAACAAACACTAAACAAAGCGAAGAGAAAACCTACAGAATGGAAGAAAATATTTGGAAACTGTCCATCCAACAAGGGAAGATATAAGGGATTCAAATGATTGAATAGCAAAAAAATAAAATAAAATAAAATAAAAATCAAATTATCTGATTGAAAATTGGCAAAAGATCTGAATAGATATTTCTCAAAGAAGAGATAAAAATGGACAACAGACATATGAAAAATACTCAACATCACTAATTATTAGGGAAATACAAATCAAAACCACAATGAGATATCACCTCATCCCAGTTAAAAAGGCTATTATCAAAAAGACAATAAGAATGTTGATAAAGGGGCAATGCTTATACACTGTTGTTGGGAATGTAGATCAGCCACTATGGAAAACAATATGGAGGTTCCTCAAAAAACTTAAACTAGAACTAACACATGATCCAATAATCCCACTGCGGTGTATATATCCAAAACAAAGAAAATCAGTATATCAAAAGAGATATCTGTGCTTTCATGTTTATTACAGCACTAGTTACAATAGCCAAGATTTGGAATCAACTGTGCATCAATGGATGAACGGATAAAGAAAATGTGGCATATATACACAATGAAATATTATTCAGCCACAAAAAAAGAAGGAAAGTTGTCATTTGCCACAACATGGATGGAGCTGGAGGATATCAAGCAAACTAAGCCATGCAGAGAAAGAGAAATATCACATGTTTTAACTTATATGTGGGAGCTAAAAAAATTAATCTCATGAAGGTAGTGAATAGAACGATGGTTACAAGAGGCTGGGAAGTGTAGTCAGGAACATGGGATGAAGAGGGAATGGTTAATGGGTACAAAAACACCGTTAGGTGGAATTAATAAGTTCCAGCCTTTGATACCACAACAGGTTTACTATAGCTAACAATAGTTTATAGCATTTTTCAAAATAGCTAGAAAAGAATATTTAGAATGTTCCCAACAAAAAGAAATGATGAATGAGGTGATAAATATCGTAATTACTCAGATTCAATCATTACTCATGTATGCTTGCATCCAAATATCATAGGTACCTCATAAATATGCACAACTATTATGTATCTATAAATGATTAATTAAAAATAATCAATTGGCTTTTTCTAAAATTTCTATTACAGATATCTGTATGGCAACATGTATTCTTTTCTGCCTATTACAAGATTAATATGCAACCAAAAAAAATCTGCCTCTAAATTGTGGGGCTTTCGTGTTTTTGATAAAGTTTAAAGGAATCAGAATTGCAGGAATATATGCTCTACGAATAAATATGTCACCATCTCATATTCTTTATCTAGAGAGTGGAAGAAATAAATGGGTATGCACAGATATTTCAGCACTCACTTGTGATCTATAAAGGGCTAAGATAAAGATGTATAATACATGGTTCCTGCTCTCAACAATTTTATGTTCTTAGAATACAAAAAGGAAATGATATATTATATTTTAGAACAATACTTACACATTCTACCACTTTAAACGTGTTTTATTAGATGAAACATATAGCAATAATTTGTAACAAAACAACTCAGTTTGAGAATCTTTACCAGAGAGATAGTTTGCATAGATGAAACAGTCATCTGAATTTTAGCTGTAAACTGAAAATAAAATCCTAAGCACTCCCACATACGGAGCAGACCCCCTTTTGGCCAACAGAAACCCTCCCCACCAAAAAACCTTAAAACCTGAATTCCTGGCCATAAAAGGAAGGGAAGTCAGATATACTTCTGACTTTTTGGAATATAGAACAACTGACAGGGATTCATGTTAAAATAGAGATTATGAAACTGACAAAACAGACTCTTTGTGGCAATAAGACACCAAACTATAACAAGATCTAAGGTAATGCAAAGCAAGAATTAGGCCATTAATCTTGCTACATCGCATCCTTATGTTAATTTAAAACGTTTCCTTATGTCCAGCTTGGGCAACATGGCAAGACCTTGACTCTACTAAAAATACAAAAAAATAGCCAGGCATGGTGGTACATATCTGTTGTCCCAACTACTCAAGAGGGCTGAATGTGGGAGGATTGCTTGAGGCGTGGAGGATGCTGTGAGCTGAGATCACGCTGCTGCACTCCAGCCTGGGTGACAGAGCAAGACCCTGTCTCAATAAATAAATAAATAAATAAATAAAATAAACTTTTTTATGTGGACTCCAAGTTTTAGACAGAGCCTTACTCCTTTAACCAAGTGCAAATTAAAGAATCTCTGAACTCATCCATAATCTATAAGCCCCCAGCTTCAAGATATCCCAGCTTTTTGAGCTGAACCAATGTATGCCTTCCATGTATTGATTTATATTTTTGACTGCACTTCCTGGCTCCCTAAAATGTATAAAACCAAACTATAATCTGACTGCCTTGGGACCACTTTCTCAAGACTTCTCTGGTTTGTGTTTTCCCCGGGCCTCAGTTGCTCACATTGGTTCAGAGTAAACCTCTGTAAAATGTTTTACAGAGTTTGGTTTTTCTGGTAACAAAGCAAAAGAGATAGGCCTTGACATCAAGTTTGATTTTAGTGGTAAAGTATTAGAAATGATTCAGAGGTCTCTGGCTTGTACAGTTAGGTGCATGGTGGTATCAGTCACAAATAAAGTGAAAATTGGAAGAAAAGCAGTTGTGAAGGAAGACTACAGTTTTTATTAAACAAGCACCCTTGAGACACCAAAGACGACGCATGTAGGCGCCAGTTAGGGTAGGAGGCCTTCCGAGTCTTATCTGTTGGATCTGGTGTGGATTGGGTAGAAATGTGCTGGGCTGCAGTTTAATTGGCAGGGGAGAGAGAAGGGGAGGGAATACCAAGTGGGATTCTCCTGCTCTGTCCCCAGGAGAGGCAGGTAAACTGCTTTCATTGATGGTCAGCACCAGTAAGGCAGGAAGGAATCTCTTTGGGTGAAGGGGAGTTTCAGAGACTTCCTTTAAATACTCTACTTAGAACCCTCAAGGTATTTGCCATTCTTGGGGAACCCCGAGTCAGGGCAAATTGAAACAAAGTTCTTCTGATTCCTACTGCTCCTCCAGTTCCTGCCCTTCCCCATCATTAACTCCCAACAATGTACAATGTACACAGATTGTATTTATGTAGATGTGGCCTCAGGAAATCAAAATGTCCTAGAATGCAGGTAATTTAAAGTCTTACCAAATAATCTTCTGTCCAGTTTTTCCACATGGATTCTATAATCTATTCAAGGAGGTGGGGGAAGAGCATTCTTTTCTTTATTTTTGTACCTCATTAGTAAGTCCTAACCATACTCTTCCTTAGATTGCTTTTCCAACTCAGTCTTGTTCTCACATTTTTAGAAAGGACAACGGGATCTTTAAATTCTCTCGGTTTGTGTTGGGAAAGGACCCAAATTAGTGTGCTTCCTCATTGACAGTCAGAGTAGCCTTCAAGCAATATATCTAGGGAAGGCATTTACACCTCCTCCCCCTCCTCTTTTTCAGTTTGGCATACTCTAGCTTGCATTGTGCTCTCCCTGTAACGATGAGAGAAAATAACACACACTATTCACTCTCCTTTGTCTGCAAAGTCTGGCATTTCAGTGGTTTTCTTTAAGGGGGTCCTCATTTGTGACCAGCTTTGCCATTAACGGAAATCAATCTGAATGCCCCATTGTGCATCTTCTTTCTTTCCTTGCACTCTGAGATTGCCTTTGCCAAGTTTTTTCTCACTGAACTTGAAAGACCTTCTCTCATTTTCCCGTTCCCTGCCTCCAGCCCCATTGAATCCCTGCAGAGCTTTCTCAGGCATAAGGGCTGTAGTGTGAGGATTGGGAGGAACTCGACCTACTCCGCTAACCCAGTGGCCTGAGCCAATCACAAAGAGGATTGGAGCTTCACTCCGAGCGCTCCTTCCCTTCTCCTCCCTCTGTGACAGCCTCTTGGAGAGAGGGACACTGGAGGGGTGTGTTTGCAATTTAAATCATTGGATTTTTGCCCACCCTCTTTCCAAATAAGAAGGCAGGAGCTGCTTGCTGATGTGTAAAGGGTCTTCTGAGCTGCAGTGGCAATTAGACCAGAAGATCCTCGCTCCTGTCTCTAAAGAGGGGAGAGGGCAAGGATGGTGGAGGCTTTCTGTGCTACCTGGAAGCTGACCGACAGTCAGAACTTTGATGAGTACATGAAGGCTCTAGGTAGGTAACAATAAGAACGGCTGTTCTCTTCTTATCGTGCTGCTTTAGATACTTGCAGATTCCATTTTTCACTCATCAGGTCAGCAAGAGGCAAAGACAGATCACGTTGTCCTGATCAGATGCTAGGCTATGCATTTTCCACTGAATGGATTTTTAATGTGGCACTTGTTTGCCTTCTTACCCAGGGCCAAAAACACAGAGCATCTGCTATTCTGTGGAGAAAGTGAAGCTTCTCTGACTTTTTTGGTTTTCTTCTGCATGCACTTATAATCACAGTAGTGTTTTACATGATTAATGGCTAATCATGTTCTAATGAAACTTACACTTTAGAACCTGGGTTCCATAATCAGAAAGCAGATTCTTGCTTTGTGAGTTATTTTGAAAGTTGCTGCAGACTGTACTGTTCCCTTTGCTATTTTAGGCGTGGGCTTTGCCACTAGGCAGGTGGGAAATGTGACCAAACCAACAGTAATTATCAGTCAGGAAGGAGACAAAGTGGTCATCAGGACTCTCAGCACATTTAAGAACACGGAGATTAGTTTCCACCTGGGAGAAGAGTTTGATGAAACCACTGCAGATGATAGAAACTGTAAGGTGAGAAACTGCTTCTTCTCCAGAGTGGGGATGGGGAGGGGGGAATAAAGATAAAGATTCCCAATGCATGCTTTTTTTTTTTTTTTTTAAGATGTTGGAAAGTGTAGAATATTTTCAATATTTCAATCCAAGGAGAAATACACCATAGTTTAGTGTGCATATGTTATATTTTGAACAATGGGTACTTGCTATAGCATAAATCTCAATTGTATTTGTCTCTTACCATATATTGTTCACATTTTATATCAAGCTTGTATTTCAGAAAACATTTAATAACGTTTGTTTGAAAGAGAGAGTGCAGTTTGTTTAATTCCCCAGGTTGCCTCAGATTGACTAAATGGGCAGTTTGCCTCATTCTAAGGCTTTCTTTAGAAGGACGACTAGCTACAAAGCACTAGTTTAGGATTTTTGTTTTTAATATATTAAATTTTTGTATTTAGATGTGTATTTTTAATCAAATTATGAATTATTCAAATTTACATAATAATCTAGAAGTAATAGAGATAATAATAGGATAATTAATTGATTATGATTTATTCAATTACACAATTCTTTCAAAAATCACATCATTTGTCTTCCGTATCAGAAATCTGAATTGTATTTATTGCTATGTTTTGCATTTCATTGTTGGTCTCAGTCTGTTGTTAGCCTGGATGGAGACAAACTTGTTCATGTACAGAAATGGGATGGCAAAGAAACAAATTTTGTAAGAGAAATTAAGGATGGCAAGATGGTTATGGTAAGTAATGACAATTCTCCATTCTTCCTTGTTTTTTACTCCTCTCCCCATACCTCTCACCTCCTTCCCTCTTCCTTCCTCCCCCTTCCATTCTTCCTCCTTCCTTCCTTCTTTAATAATACATTACTGGCAAGGTTCTTTAACTATATATAAAACAGGGGAAATAAAAAGATCCTAGTTAATTGTCTTCTTCAGCTCAACATTTTTGATTGCAGAAAAAGAGAACATTTCATGTGTAGTTAAAAAAATAAAAGTTGCCATTGATTTGCCTAAAACTGTGTCAAAAGATTTTTTTGTAGGATAACTATGGATGTCTCTCAAATAAAATTTAAAGCCCATAATCACTGAAATATATAAAGATAATTGCTATTATAAGAGAATCTCAGACAGATGACTTTATGGCTCCTGTAATAAGAGATCTGTAGCTTATATTTTAATTTATAAAGTTACAAAAGTTCAGTGCAGATACTTTAGAATATAACAGAAAAGTATAAAAAATGTTAAAATCTCATCAGAGATAACCTTTTTTTTTTTTTTTTTGAAATGAGGTCTTGCTCTGTCACCCAGACTGGAGTGTAGGGGTGCAATCTCGGCTCACTGCAACCTCCATTTCATGGGCTCCAGCAATTCAACAACTTCAATCTCCTGAGTAGCTGGGACTACAAGTGCAAGCCACCAACGCCAGGCTATTTTTAAAATATTTTTATAGAGACGGGGTTTCGCCATGTTGCCCAAGCTGGTCTACAACTCTTGAGCTCAAAGTGATGCTCCTGCTTCCTGCCTCGGCCTCCCAAAGTGCTGGAATTACAGGCCTGCGCCAAGGCTCCTGACTCCCGTAGAGAACCATTTTGTAGTTACTTCTTTCCAGTTTTTTCTTGAATACATAAAATGCCTTTTAAACACATCTATTTAATACTAGGTGGCCATTAAAAATATTTTTTTCAATCACCCTCTTCTAACTTACTAGGAATTATCTGTAAAAGAGGATGTATTAGTGTCCTAAGGCTGCCACAACAAAGTACCACAAACTTGGTGACTTAAAACAACAAAAGTGAATTTTCTTAGTTCTGAAGTCTAGATCCCTGAAATCAAGGCGACCCTAGTGCCACTGTCCTTCTGCAGGTCCCCTCCCTTGCTTCTTCCTACTTCCTGGGTGGCTCCTGGCAATCCTTGAGGTTGTTGGGCTTACAGTTGTATCACTCTGATCCATTTCTGACTCCATCTTTACAAGACTTTTTCCCTATATGTTTTTGTCCTAAATTGATCAAACATAAAATAATTAACAAATAATTTCTCTAATGAAGGAGTAGTATCACAAACGAGAAGAAATATTATGCCTTGACCAAGCCCTCCTCAGACACTTTTTGTGTGACCTGCAAGGGTATATTGATGATACTGACATAGGTGGTTAGGCTCATTCAATTTTAGAGGAGGGTGTGAGAATGCTTTACACGGTCCTTGTAAGATGACAGCAGAGAAAGTTTTGTTGTTTAAGACTGGGGACTCATGTTTCCTTCTCCATTTGACTACTGCAATGAGCACTGTTCTACACTGAGATATTCATGCTTCTGTGGAGATGGAGGTGGGGAGCAGAGGGACAGTTTTCCTTTCATGTTAAAGGACATTTGCTCACATTCTTTGGCAACAATCGACAAAAGAAAGGACTCATTTCTAAAAGATTCGCTCTGAAGTTCTCCTTTATGCTTTTACCTCCATTTTTTTTCTTGAACACAGAAAAGTAGATAGCTCAACCGTGGCATGCATGACTATGATCAGGCAAGATTGAGTTCAAAAAGGAAGATTAAAGCAATAGACTACAAGGATACACTATACTCCTGAACATCCCATCAATACATGAAAACAATGAGCACTAAAACCCCCTAAGTTCTGTAAAGTGGCTTTATAGCAACTCTTCAAGTTAGATTTGACATTAGAGTAATGGAGCTGATGTTCCACATCCTATCCAGCTACCTACCTGGGTTCACATAGGGTAAGCCATGACAACCAAAGCAAGAAGAACATTTGTACCTTTACATTTTCCTCTTCAGTTTGGAACAAGTCATTCCAAATACCATCAGCTCAAATGATTGGATTTTCTAATGACTGTTCAAAATTTATCTAGGTTATGAATTGAAAACTGTTATGTAAACCTATTATACAACTCATTCACTTTTAAAGCAGATAGCTGAGAAAAGAATATAGACACTCCATTTCCCACACTTAATCTGCTCAATTACCCTGATAATTTAAGGCTAAAGAAATTCTTTTGACCTGAATCTAAATTGCTAATCTCAGTTTTTGCTTCATTCTCATTTCAGAGACATAAACTATATATCAATATAGCATCTCTTTTCAAGATGTAAAATGCTTATGCAGCATTTAATGTTTGTAAATGTCATTCTTTCGCATGATACTTAGATTACATATATGATGATCTTTAAAATTCAGTGACTGATGTTCCTGTATAAAAAGATTTGATTATCTTTTGAACCTTGCAGACCCTTACTTTTGGTGATGTGGTTGCTGTTCGCCACTATGAGAAGGCATAAAAAAGTTCCTGGTCTGGGCTTGGAAGAGCTCTTCAGTTTTTCTCTTTCCTCAAGTCTCCATGCTATCCTATTACAGCACGGCTGATCATTAATTAGAAGGCTATCCTTGGTGTGGAAGTGCAGAATCATGATTTAAAAGCTTGTTACTCCAAGCAACTAGCCCAATTTTAATCTGAAAATTTATCATGTTTTATAATTTGAATTAAAGTTTTGTCCCTCCCCTTTTTTTTACAAACAACTGAATATATTTTATAATTTCTTTTGGAATGTAAATCAAATTTGAATAAAAATCTTACATGTGAAATTTTGTTGTTGTTTTTAATATCATTAATCTGGCTAAGAACTCTATATTAAGACAATTTTAAGTAAAATAGTCACTCTTACAGCATAAAGTAAGGCTGAAAAAGGTAGCACTTTGTTTAAAATATTAATTTAAAAAATAAACAAAAGCCTTAGAAAATACGAAAATGCCACAGTTTTGGTTGAACCTTCCATGAAGAATCTGTGATAGTTAAATTCATTTGGCCAGGACCCAGAGATGCCTTGTACAGTGGGTTGGGCTATGGAAGTGGTGTCTTTTTTCTTTTCTTTTCTTTTTTTGAGATGAAGTTTCACTCTTGTCGCCCAAGCTGGAGTACAGTAGCGCCATCTCGGCTCACTGCAACCTCTGCCTCCTGGGTTCAAGCAATTCTCCTGCCTCAGCCTCCTGAGTAGCTGGGATTACAGGTGCCTGCCAGCACATATGACCAATTTTTGTATATTTAGTAGAGACGGGGTTTCACCATGTTGACCGGGCTGGTCTTGAACTTCTGACCTCAGGTGATCCACCCACCTTGGCCTCCCCAAGTGCTGGGATTACAGGCATGAGCCACTGCGCCCGGTGGAAGTGGTGTCTTTAGAAGAAACAGTTTGAAGAAACAAAATGATGTATATCAAAATGTCTTATTAAAAGGTAAATATAATAAAAATATCATGTAATCAAAATTTCTTATTGAAAGGCAATAGAGAAAGGGAGTGAATTTTATCCTGGATTATAAAAAATGTTTCTCCAGACAACCAAACTGAGTTGGATAAAGTCAGTGAGAGTGCAAATGCAGTGTTGTGCATAAAGACACTGAAAATTTCAGGGTTGGGGGAGTAGGGCAGGATGAAGAAAGGGAAGGTGATTGAGTTGACCAAACCAAATTAAATACCTGTTTGTATCTGGCTAGGGTCTGAATTTGTGAAATACAAACAAACAAATATTATTACATATTTCATCATTTACGAAATACTTTTTATACATTTTCTCAACTGTACAATGTTTAGGAAGAAGGCAGGTATTATTTATTTTTACTTTACCAGTAAGGAAATTGAAGGTTAGATTTGCATGTCCAAGTTCTCATTAATTTTATAAATTAATTCAAAGTTCAATTAACTGGCCGGGCATGGTGACTCACACTTGTAATCCTAGCACCAGCACTTTGGGAGGCCGAGGAAGGTGGATCACGTGAGGCCAGGAGTTCAAGACCAGCCTGGCCAACATGGTGAAACCCTGTCTCTACTAAAAATATAAAAATTAGCCAGGTGTGATGGTGCATTTCTGTAATCCCAGCTACTCACGAGGCTGAGTTACAAGAATCGCTTGGGCTGGGTGGTGGAGGTTGCAGTGACCCAAGACTGTGTCACTGCACTATGGCCTGGGTGACAGACAAAGACTCTGTCTCAAAAGAAAAAAAAAAAAAGTTCAATTAGCTTACAGCTATAAGTATGAGAAAATTTTCTTTTTTTTTTTTTGCCTAAGAGATGGGGTCTTGCTTAGTTGCCCAATCTAGTCTCAAACTTCTGGGCTCAAGCAATCCTCCTACTTCAGCCTCCTGAATAGCTAGGACTACTGGCACACACCAGTGCACTCAGTTTACCTGTCTTTAAAAGCATGAAACAGAACATGAACAGGGTGTTGGCTCCAACTGTTCCGACAGCCACCGACTCTGCTTCTGGTGGAGGGGCTGCTTAACTTGGGATTTCAGCCTACGCTATACCAGAAGCTCAGATTCTGGCCTCTCTATTATTAAAGATACAAAGCCAAAGACAGAGATTTATCTTTAGTTCATTATAATGAAGCCAAATAACACTGGCACCAGTTTCCATAACAGCTGTCTCACAGAGTGAGGAATGAAAAGGTTTTTGGGTGGCCTAAATGGGAAACAAAGATGCAATGGTCTGAAAGATCAAGGGTTGCAGTGGTAGAACAAATGCATTTTAAGGGGGAATATAATTAACATGTTTGCTTCCTAAATTTTTCTGGGTAGTCGCAAATCATTTTTCTTCAAACCAAATTCTATTTCACACTGTCAATCTGTCAATGCACTAACTTTTCTGGTTTGCCGTCTTTGTTTTGTTCCTTAACATAGTTAAGAAACATAATTAAAGGAAAGGAAAAACGACCAAGACCAAAGGCAATTTGACCAACAGGCCCTGGAAGAACATTTCTGAAATGATACAAAGGTCTCAATGATACAAACTAAACTAAGCTAAGGTTGTTTTGTGAAGCTTCTGCCCTTCTTTCATGTGATTTCCCTCACCCAGATACACACACTCAAAATGACATGTATGTACACCTGGAACATGGAGACCTACAAATATATGCCCATGGTTGAGATATACCTGTAGAGATATTGGGGCACTGTAGTTTTTTGCTTCTTAGTGAGTATTAACAAAAAAAAAAAAAAGAAAGAAAGTGGAGTGAGTAGAAAGAAGGATGGTGTTTCTACTCACTAATTTTAATATACTGTACTTTTTAGGATTGCAAGTATTTCTTAAGTTTCAAAATGTGTATGCCTTGTTTTATGCTTACTGAGAAACTATTTCGCAACCAGTTACTTCCAGTAAAGAATATTGAAATTGGAAAAAAAGGAGTGAAAAGAGCTATTTTTATAATTTATCCTTTTCCTAGCTTTCAAATGTTTGGACTAAAAACTCCTCTAAGTCGTTTTGTTAATCCTTACAGTTGTTTTCTCTCGCCAGCTCACCATTTTTTTCTGGCTCCATTTTCTCCCATACTCTAGAGGTTGTGAACTGAGAAACTCCAAGGACCATCTTGTCCACCACTGGAATGCACTCCGGTTCCTGCAAACTTTGGAATCATCCAAAAGCTGAATCAGCCCAAAAGGACTTGGGCTGCCCTGGCAGGACTTGAAACCGTAAACCGAAAGTACCTGAGACAGGTCTCAATCAATTTAGAAAGTTTACTTTGCCAGGGTTAAGGATGGGCCAGTGACACAGCCCCAGGAGGTCCTGACATGTGCCCAAGGTGGTCAGGGTACAGCTTGCTTTCATACATTTTAGGGAGACATAATACAGCAATCAGTACGTGTAAGGTTTTACATTGGTTAGATCTAGAAGGGCAGGGCAACTTGAAGCTGGGCGGGGGGTGGGTGTTTCCAGATCACAGGGAGATTTAAACATGTCCTGATTGTCAATTGGTTGATTGAAAAAGTTATTATCAATAGAAAGGCTGTCTGGGTTATAAGAGGTTGTGAGACCTAGATTTTATCACCCAGATGAAGCCGTCAGGTAGCAGGCTTTAGAGAAACAGACCTTAAATGTGTCTTGTCAGACTTAAGGTTTGTGTTGATGTTAATTAGGTATGTCCAACCTCCCAGCCCCCTTTTTATGGCCTGAACCAGTCTTTCACGTTAAATTTTAGGGTGCCCTGGCTGGGGAGAGAGTCCATTCAGATGGTCGCCCATTCAGATGGTTATGAGGGGCCTTCAAATTTTATTTTTGGTTTACAAAACAGAAAATGGAAGCACCTTGCTTCCCACTTCAAAATCCCTTTCATGAGACATGCTCCCATTAAGTTACATGGGATAGAAAACAAAGCTTTCTATGATAAAGAAATACACTCTACAACATCTTTTTTGAGGTTAGTAATTATGGAAAGCATTTTCTTCTGTAAAGGAATTCCACGCCCTATAAATTTAAATTATTAGCTTGTCATCTCCAAGCGATCAGCGTTCTCATAAATGGTGAGAAGGAACATAGAACACAGAATCCAGCAGTTTCGGGATTATTCATCATCTTTGCTTACTCCTTTGTACACTTCTTTGCCAGAAGTATATTCAAAAAAGTTCCTTGGAAGCATCAAATCAACCACCTCTACTTTTGATTTCCATGCATCTCTAGAATGCATAAAGTATGATTTTCAGACATGTTCTAATTCTAAGACCCTTCTCTTCCCGGCAGTTTAAAAAACAAAACAAAACAAAAAAAACAAAAGGGGTATCTTTGAGCATTGCTTTTCAAACCTCACAATCACTTTAACATGACTTGAAATGCTTGTGAAAACACAAACTGCTGGGCTCCAGCAAGTTGCTGAATCAACAGATCTAGGGTGGTGCCTGGGAATTTGCATTTCTAACTAGAGTTCCCAGGTGGTGCTGATGTTCCCAGTCCAGAGATAACAATTCCAGATCCACTGCGGTATCCAGAACTTTTGCTGATTTCCTGTAAATCATGATACTTCAGGGCTCTCTCTGCATCACCTCTACTGAGGAGCCCTCCCTGTTAAAGCTGGGGTAGGTTGGCCAAAGAAGGGAACCAGGATCGTTGAGCTTTCAGCACCCCAGCATTTTTTTTAGTGACTGAAATAATGAAAATTCTGATCAGGCTCCTGCTTGTTTGCACATTTTAACCACTAGCTTTTTGCCCAATATTCTCCTTGTTTCCATAATATAATTATAAACTGTTGATATACTGCTTCCTCGTCAAGAACAAAGAGGTAACTTCAGGGTCACAAAAATGTTTGCAGAAGGGATGAATACCTCGAAGGGCTTTGCAACCAGCTGCGGATACCTGGACGTCTAATTGCTCAAGGTATTATCTGAGACTGAAGAAACAGACTTTTCCCCTGGATTATTTGAAACTCCCCCTCTCTTATTCTCCAGCAGTATAAAAACTCCCCACTTTTTCCTTTTTACAGACGAATTTGAGCGATCTTGCTCTCCCTCCTTCTGGCTTTCATCAAATTGAATGTCTTTCTCTATCCCCAAGCACCAGTGTGTCAGTATTTGACATCAACTGCACCACTGATACACGAGCCTGAATTTGAGCTTCTACAAGAACATTCCTTCCTAGGCCAAACACCGACGCTAAGAAATACGAGAACAGATCATCGCTAAACAGCAGCTGAAGGCCAGGCGAACTGACTCGCTGCGGAATTTGTCTTTGCACGTGATCAGTCGGGCGTCTATACCCGCAGCCGTCTTCTGACTCCTCCTCACCCTCAGGCCTGACGGTCCGAGTGGAGCTGCGGGACAGCCCGAGCCTCCGGGTCAGCCCCGCGGTCCTCCATGGCGCTGCTGCACGCGCTTGTCTGCTGCCTGCTGACTGCTTGGCACTGCCTCTCCGGCCTCGGGCTGCCCGTGGCGCCTGCAGGCAGCAGGAATCCTCCTCCGGCTGTAGGTGAGTTGTCCGCTACCCTTCTCTTCCCAGCCAGAGCCGAGAGCGGGGAGCGACGGCGCCTGCGCACAGCCGGAGAAAGTGGGGAAGGCAGCTGCCCCCGGCAGAGGCTCGGGCTAGCCGGGGCCCTGACGCATCCGGCGTTCCCTACGGCTGCTAGGCGCGGGGAAGGCGACCAAGGGACTAGAGCGTTAGGGCGTCCAGCCGGAAGACCGGGGCTGGGCGGGGGGAGATGCCTCCAAGGGCGCGTGGGCCGGATTTCAACAGCCTGGCTTTTGTTTACATCCTGCATCTCAGTTGGTTTGCTCCTTGGGGAAGGAAGGAAAAGCTCCGGGACTCAAGGGAAGAGGAAGCTGGGAGTCCGATGTCCAGCACTGCAAGAGGCCCCGAATCAGTCCGGAATGGAGGGGGACTGTAGTTTCCCCCTCAGCTCAGGGATGTAAATTTCAGCGTGACTCAGACTATCTTATGTCTTGCTCGACTGAGATCGGTGGCTTTTTGTGCCGCTCACCCAGCTAGAGCGCGAAAGCACCCTCGGTGTAGACTCGCCCCTTAGTCAACCGTGGAACTCACGGGGACTTCATTTCACCTGGATGTCCACCTGCGGCCGGGACCCATTTTATTCACTCCCAACACTTAACACAGTGCCTGTTACAGTAGTGATTCTCTAAGTGTGGCCCTGGACCGGTGGCAGCACCCGCCGCACCTGAGCTTGTTAGCATTGCAAATTTCTAGCCCATCCCAGACCTACTGAATCTGAACCGCCGACGTTGGGGTTCCACAGTAGCTGTTTAACCCTCCGCATGATTCCTTCCACTCGGCTAAGTTTGAGACTCACTGGTCCAGAATAGATACATTTTGATGGGAGATTGTACAATGCCATCTGAGCCTCCAGTTTCAAAAATCAAGGTGCTCACACCTCCTCAACTCCCTTTAAAAATAATTGCACTGTTGGAGGAAAAACAAAATTAGAGAAGTGGAGTTCTGTTTTCTTTGGGGGGAGAGTTGTCGCTGAGACTCGGTGGCAGCAACTAGTGCTGAAACCTCTCTCTTTGCTCCCTCTGTGCTTTCTCAGGACTTGGGAGCGCTGTAGGGCAAATATCTTCTCTTTGAAGGCCAAGTCCTCATGACTCAGCTGTCAGGAGGTCTGAAGCAAAAATTGTAAATCTGGTTTCCCAACTGTGGCAAATGTCAGTCATTACAAGAAATTTCCCCAAAATGTTTATGTATACTGGTTTCTGCTTTTATTACAGCTTAGCTTGTGTTACTTTAATTATGTGACCGGTTAGGGTTTTGAAATAAAATGTCTCCGGTTGCTCGAGGCCACACAATGGCAAATTCACCTGTGTTTTAAGGAGGCCTCAAGGAGCGCTTTCTGGGGACTATGTGAGTCTTCACACCTCCGTTTTGGATGGGAAGCTGCAAGGTTGAATCCCCACATACTGAAGGGGAAGGAAGAGGGATTACTGGAGTTCAAAGGTCTGAAGTGTGACTGGAATCACTGGAGTTCAAAGGTCTGAAGTATTCACTCAGCAGTTTCACAATTCTCCTTGTTTGTAGTATTTTGCATATTTTCCACTTGATGTGACAACTCCCCAGACGCCTCCTCTCAGCCCCAAATGCTCAGACTTCCTTTCAACACCCTGTCTGGCTACGGCTTGCTTGTTACGTGTTTTTGCTTTTAAGTTCCCAGTCTTAGCTTTCTGCCCTCTCAAGTCCTGGTGGTCGGAGGACAAAAGTCCTAGGAAGCTTCACATGCGTGTTTTTGGCTACAGTTCTTTAGATTTAGTAGGCTGGGACTGGCTTGATTGGTACTGTTAAAGCAAACTAAATACGGCCTGAGAAGGACTCCTTACTTCTATATTTGAATCCTTGTGAATGAACTGTAACCTAGCTTAATAGTCAGATGAGACTGAAAACCTAACTTAAGAGTATTCACTGGTA